CTCCGCAGTGCTCGAGCTGACCTCCTCATGGTTCCACCTGACCTTCTCATAGCTCCACCCGACCTCCTCATGGCTCCACCTGCCCTTCTCATGGCTCCACCAACCTTCTCATGGCTCCACCCAACCTTCTCATGGCTCCACCTGACCTCCTCATGACTCCACCTGACCTTCTCATGGCTCCACCTGACCTCCTCATGACTCCACCTGACCTTCTCATGGCTTCACCCAACCTCCTCATGGTTCCACCTGACCTTCTCATGGCTTCACCAACCTTCTCATGACTCCACCTGACCTCCTCATGGCTCCACCTGACCTCCTCATGGTTCCACCTGACCTTCTCATAGCTCCACCCGACCTCCTCATGGCTCCACCTGACCTTCTCATGGCTCCACCTGACCTTCTCATAGCTCCACCTGACCTTCTCATGGCTCCACCCAACCTCCTCATGGCTCCACCTGACCTCCTCATGGCTCCACCTGACCTCCTCATGGTTCCACCCAGCCTTCTCATGGCTCCACCTGACCTCCTCATGACTCCACCTGACCTTCTCATGGCTTCACCCAACCTCCTCATGCTTCCACCCAACCTTCTCATGGCTCCACCTGACCTTCTCATGAATTTATGGCTCCCACTTTGAAACTGGAAGGCAAAGTGGGGACGAGGGTGGCTTTGTCTTGGAGATAGGGGAGAAGGTCTCTGCTCTATCAAGGGACAATGAGTTTTGGGGTCCCGGGTTCTCACCTGAGAAGAAGTGGACCCCAAACCATGGCTTTAGTGTGACCACAGTCTTGCTTCACACCAGAGTCAATAGACTTTGGTGGCCACCATGGTTTGCAACCCAAAAGAGGTCCACCCCCCGCTTCCAGGACAGGTCCCTTGTCACCTCCCAACAAGGTCAACGTGGGCCTGGAGATGTCACCACCCCAACATTTGCACCCAAGAAGAGATGGACCACAGAGCTCCCCTGTGGTGGTTCCCCCCTTCCGCTGGTGTAAAGGTCAACATCAACCTCAAGATCAACCATCAACGTCAATCCATAGAGTTTGACACTGGGATGTTCCACCAGAAAGAGATGGAACCACCACGCGTGGTCCCACCACCGCTGTGTCCCTCTTGTCCCCTCAACATGAGCCCCACAGATCTTGTCACCAGAAAGAGGTGGAACCACCATGCACGGACCCACCACCACTGTGTCCCTCGTGTCGCCCCATGGTAAATGTCAACGTGAGCCCCACAGACTTTGTCACCAGAAAGAAGGTGGAACCACCACATGTTCCACCAGAAAGAGGTGGAACCACCACACGTGGTCCCACCACCACTTTGTCCCTCTTGTCCCCTCAACATGAGCCCCACAGACCTTGTCACCAGAAAGAAGGTGGAACCACCACATGTTCCACCAGAAAGAGGTGGAAACACCACATGTGGTCCCACCACCACTGTGTCCCTCTTGTCCCCCCCAACATGAGCCCCACAGACCTTGTCACCAGAAAGAGTTGGGCCTCCAAAAAGTGCCACCTTACCATGACGTGTCCCCTCTTGCCTCGCGTCAAGCTCAAGGTGAGCCCGTAGACTTCCAGGGACAACTCCTGGATGCCGGAGACCTTCTTCTTCTGCCGGGCCTCCTTCTCCATTTTCACCGCGAAGGGTTGGCCGCCCTCCCCTCCCCCGCAGGTCTCGCTCAGGACGTAAGAGCAGGTCCCCGAGAAGTTGAAGGCCACCCCGTCGAAGGAGACGTAGCTACGGTCCCCGGTGACCAAGCAGGTCCCCAGGGCGGCCGAGGAGCACTGGAAGACGCCCTCGATGACTTGCCCTTCTCCACCTCCAGGACACGAAGCCTCTTGACATTCCAGGGCGCCCCCCGCCCGGCACCGACACATCTCCTCCTTGGTGGCCAAGAAGGTCTCCTCCGCTTGGTAGTAGAAGTCCCCTTGGTGGCACCCGCAGCGGGAGAGGGGGACGCAGGTGTCGCCGCTGAGGACCAAGCCCCCGTCGCAGGCGCAACCTTCCCGACACCTTTCCTGGCATTTTTCCGGGGAAAAAAGGCTCCGGCAGCTCCGGCCGCAGCCCCGGGAGCAGGGCTCGTAGTGGCTGTTGGGGGGACACGGAAAACCTGCAAAAATGTCAATTTTTTAACCCATAATTAGATTTTTTAACCAAAATGTAGATTTGTTTAGGTGTCGCCGCTGAGGACCAAGCCCCCGTCGCAGGCGCAACCTTCCCGACACCTTTCCTGGCATTTTTCCGGGGAAAAAAGGCTCCGGCAGCTCCGGCCGCAGCCCCGGGAGCAGGGCTCGTAGTGGCTGTTGGGGGGACACGGAAAACCTGCAAAAATGTCGATTTTTTTAAGCCATAATTAGATTTTTTAAACCATAATCAGATTTTTTAACCCATAATTAGATTTTTTAACCAAAATGTAGATTTGTTTAAACCCAGATGTAGATTATTTTAACCCTAACATAGTTTTTTTAACCCATAATTAATTTTTTTTAACCCAGATGTCAGTTTTTTAACCCATAATTAGATTATTTTAACACAGATGTAGATTATTTTAACCCAAATGTAGATTTTTAAACCCATAATTAGATTTTTTAACCAAGATGTAGATTTTTTTAAACCCAGATGTAGATTATTTCAACCCAAACATAGATTTTTTAACCCATAATTAGATTAGTTTAACCCAGATGTAGATTATTTTAACCCTAACATAGTTTTTTTAACCCATAATTAATTTTTTTTAACCCAGATGTCAGTTTTTTAACCCATAATTAGATTATTTTAACACAGATGTAGATTATTTTAACCCAAACGTAGATTTTTAAACCCATAATTAGATTTTTTAACCAAGATGTAGATTTTTTTAAACCCAGATGTAGATTATTTCAATCCAAACATAGATTTTTTAACCCATAATTAGATTAGTTTAACCCAGATGTACATTATTTTAACTCTTTATTAGATTTTTTTTACCCCAGATGTAGATTATTTTAACCCAAACGTAGATTTTTAAACCCATAATTAGATTTTTTTAACTGAGATACCAATCTTTTAACCTGTGATAACATTTTTTTTAACCCAGATGTAGATTATTTTAACTCATAATTAGATTATTTTAACCCATAATTATATTATTTTAACCCAGATACAAATTTTTAAAACTCATAATTAGATTTTTTAACCTGATGTAGATTATTTTAACCCAAACATAGATTTTTTAACCCAAACATAGATTTTTTTAACCCATAATTAGACTTTTTTAACCCAGATGTAGATTATTTTAATCGAAATGTAGACTTTTAAAACCCATAATTAGATTTTTTTTTAACCGAGATGTCAATTTTTAACCCCTAATTTCATTTTTTTAACCCAAATGTGTATTTTTCCCCAGATGTAGACTTTTTTAACCGAAATGTAGATCTTCTTAACCCATAATTAGACTTTTTAAACCCATAATTAGATTTTTTTTTAACCGAGATGTCAATTTTTAACCCCTAATTTCATTTTTTTAACCCAAATGTGTATTTTTCCCCAGATGTAGACTTTTTTAACCGAAATGTAGATCTTCTTAACCCATAATTAGACTTTTTAAACCCATAATTAGATTTTGTTAACCCAGATGTAGATTTTTTTTAACCCATAATTACATTTTTTCACTCCAGATGTAGATTTTTTAAACCGATTGGTAGATTTTTTAATCCAGATGTAGATTTTTTTAACCCCCCTTTTTTTTTTTTACTCCAGATATCGATTTTTTAACCCAAATGTAGGTATTTTTTTTAACCAAATGTCGATTGCTGTTTTTAACCCAGATGTAGATTTTTTTTTCACCCCAAATCACCTCATTTTTCCCCCATTTTCCTGCAGGAATCGAGGACCTTCCCTCAAGACCAGACTCGCTCCTTCCCTGGGTCCAACATTGACCTCGGGGTGCGTGGGGGGAGGTGTCCCTTTCTCCTCGTTTGACCATTTTGGGTGGATTTCATGGGTTTTTTGCCCTCCAGGCGATGAACCCTCCCTCTTTTTTTTTTTTTTCACCCAAAAGAAATTGGTGCTTTTTTGGGGTTAAATCATTCCCTGGAAGGGTGGGGGGATTTTGGAGAGATGATGGGACCAACATGGGCTTTGGGTGGAGATGGAAGCCCCACCAGGGGGAGACGATTTTGGGTGGGAATCCCTTTGTCCCCACCTGGGTTTGACCAAGGCTTGGGGTTCCTTTGGATTTTGGTGACCCCCAGAACCCCCAAATCCCCTCGATTCAACCCAACTCACGGCAGAAGTCCTCCGTCCTCCACCTCCCCACGGCGACGCCGGCGGCCTGGCAGACCTCGGCGTAGCGGGCGATGAGGGGACACCTCACCCCTTCCCCATCTGGGAAGAGGCAAAGGTCATGGAGGCAGCTTTGGAAGTACTTTTGGGGGTCCACCAGAGCGTGGCAAGCTCCGAAGGGTCCACCTTCTTCTCGGATGATGCCGCAACCCTTGGAGGAGACCTCCTGCTGACCTAGAGCTTCCATGGTGCTGGTGGGACATTCCAAGGTGGAGGTCTCCCCACAACCGGGGACGGCGGTGACCTTCCAGCTGCCCCCCAGGGTGGTGGGGTCAGAGGTGACCTGGCCGCTCTTGGTCATCATCTCGTCCTCCTCCTGGCCGTTGTAGTTGCCGCAGAGGCCACAGAGGGCGCCGGCGTAGGTGGTGGGGACGGTGGCCACCAGGCGGCTCCGCCCATCGTAGGACACGGCCAACCCAAAGTCGGTCTCCACCACCGTGTCCCCCCCGGGCCCCCGGGAGACGGAGACCCTTCCACCCCGGCGGCCGTAGGGCAGGTTGGCCAACCGGCCGTTGACCTGGGGTGAGAAACAGAAGAATAGATAAATAAAAAATAAAATAAAGGTAAAAATAGAAATATTTAAAAAAAAAAATAAATGAAATGCAAAAAAAAAATAAATGAAATGCAAATAAAAATAAAATTTAAAATAAAAACTAACAAAAAAATGAAATACAAATAAAAACTCTAAATCTAATAAGACAAATAATAGAATCATTATTAATATTATTATATTATTAAGAATTAAATATAATATATACTAAAATTCTTCTATAATAATAATAATAAATAATAATAATTATTATTATTATCATCATCATCATCATTATTATTTGGTAAAATTAGAAAAAAGCAGTAAAAGCCGATCACCTTTTCACGCCACCGGCAATTTGGGAGCCCGAAAAATCGGCGTTTCCCAATATCGGAAAAAAAATCAGCGTTTCCCAATTTGGAATAAAATCAATGTTTCCCCATTTAGGAAAAAATCTGTGGTTCCCAATGTAGGAAAAAATCAGTGTTTTCCTATTTAGGACAAATTCAGTGTTTCCAAATATCAGAAAAAATCAGCGTTTTCCAATATAGGAAAAAAAAATAGCATTTCCCAATTTAGAAAAAAAAATAGGGTTTCGCAATATCGAAAAAAAACCCAGAGTTTCCTGATTTAGAAAAAAATCACAATTTTCCAGTTTAGGAAAAAAATCAGTGTTTCCCAGTTTAGAAAGAAATCTGTTTTCCAATTTAGAAAAAAAAATCAGCATTTTCAAATATTGGAAAAAAAAAATGAGCGTTTCCCAATACGGAAAAAAATAAGCATTTTCCATTTTAGAAAAAACCCAGCATTTCCCAATTTAGAAAAAATCAGCATTTGTCTATTTAGATACAAATAACTATTGCCCAATTTAGCAAAAAAAAACAGTGTTTCTCAATATAGAAAAAAATTAATATTTCCCAATTTAGAGAAAAATCATGTTTCACAATAGAGAAGAAAATCAGCGTTTTCCAATTTAGAAAAAAAAAAAAAATGTGTTTCTAAATATCAGGTAAATTGGTATTTCCCAATTTAGAAAAAAATTTAGCATTTTTAAATATTGGAAAAATACAGCATTTCCCAATTTGGAAAGAAATCTGTGTTTTCCAATTTAGAAAAAAAATCAGATTTTTCAAATATTGGAAAAAATCAGAGTCTCTCAATTTAGAAAAAAAATCAGAATATCCCAAAATAGGAAAAAAACCCTCTTTTCCCAATTTTGGGAAGAGATGGGACCAGGAGGTTGGGGTGAGGAGGAGGAGAAGAGATGGGACACGTGGGTTGGGTGAGGAGGAGAAGAAGGTGATGGGACACGTGGGTTGGGTGAGGAGGAGGAGGAGAAGAAGGTGATGGGACATGTGGGTTGGGGTGAGAAGAAGAAGAGATGGGACATGGGTTGGGTGAGGAGAAGAAGAGATGAGACATGGGTTGGGTGAGGAGAAGAGATGGGACATGGGTTGGGTGAAGAGAAGGAGAAGAGATGAGACATGGGTTGGGTGAGGAGGAGAAGAAGGTGATGGGACACGTGGGTTGGGTGAGGAGGAGGAGGAGAAGGTGATGGGACATGGGTTGGGTGAGGAGGAGGAGAAGAGATGGGACACGTGGGTTGGGTGAGAAGAAGAAGAAGAGATGAGACATGGGTTGGGGTGAGAAGAAGAAGAGATGGGACATGGGTTGGGTGAGGAGGAGAAGAGATGAGACATGGGTTGGGTGAGAAGAAGAAGAGATGAGACATGGGTTGGGTGAGGAGAAGAAGAATGAGACATGGGTTGGGTGAGGAGGAGGAGAAGAGATGGGACACGTGGGTTGGGTGAGGAGGAGGAGGAGAAGGTGATGGGACATGGGTTGGGTGAGGAGGAGGAGAAGAGATGGGACACGTGGGTTGGGTGAGAAGAAGAAGAAGAGATGAGACATGGGTTGGGGTGAGAAGAAGAAGAGATGGGACATGGGTTGGGTGAGGAGGAGAAGAGATGAGACATGGGTTGGGTGAGAAGAAGAAGAGATGAGACATGGGTTGGGTGAGGAGAAGAAGAATGAGACATGGGTTGGGTGAGGAGGAGGAGAAGAGATGGGACACGTGGGTTGGGTGAGGAGGAGGAGGAGAAGAAGGTGATGGGACATGTGGGTTGGGGTGAGAAGAAGAAGAGATAGGACACAGGGTTGGGTGAGGAGGAGGAGAAGGTGATGAAGATGGTGGTTGAAGAACCCAACCTCTGCTGGACTCACTGTGATTTTGCCGGGGTGTTTCCGGTTGATGCTGATGGTTTTGCCGTAGACTTTGACCACCACCAGAGCGATGGAGGCCGGTGGTTCCTCATCCCGGCGGCCGTTCTGCACCAACACCTGGAAGTCCACCAGGCCTGGGGTCTTCTCGCACAACCCCACCATCTGGTAGATGCAGGTGCCCTGGAAGACGAACCTCCCGCCGTCGAAGGTCTCGTAGTGGGTGGCGCCCACGGCCGAGCAGGTCCCGTGGCTCTTGGGGTAACAACCTTGGATGCCCTCCTCCACCCGACATTCTTCTCCATCCTGGCACTTGTCCTCTCGGCACAGGGCATTCTGGGAGGTCCCGTCGCAGACGCAACGTTTGGTGCAGGTGGTGTCACCCCAAAACTCCTCGTGGAGGCCGTGGAGGAGGCCCTCGTGGAGGCAGCCGCACTGCTCCTGGGGGACGCACCGGTTGGCCTCCAAGACGAAGCCCTCCTGGCAGGAGCAGGTCTCCACGCAGGCCGAGGTGGGGCAGTCGGTGGGGACGGCGGTGGGGTTGCAGGTGGTGGGACAGGCAGGGCCACAGGTGGTGTAGTTGCTGTTCTTGGGGCAGGAGAGGGCTGTGGAGGAGAGGGGACAGCGTGGTCATGGTGGGATGGGAGATGGTGGTCATGGTGGGACACCTTGTGATGATGGGCATGGTGGCAAAGGTCATGGTGAGGACGGACACCACGATCATGGTGGGGATGGGAGATCGTGGTCATGTTGGAGTGGGGCACCTTGTCATGGTGGGGATGGGAGATCATGGTCATGGTGGGATGGGAGATCATGGTCATGGTGGGGACGAGAGGTCATGATCATGGTGGGGTGGGGCACCTTGTCATGGTGGGGATGGATAACATGGTCATGGTGGGATGGGAGATCATGGTCATGGTGGGGACGAGAGGTCATGATCATGGTGGGGTGGGGCACCTTGTCATGGTGGGGATGGACGCCATGGTCATGGTGGGGATGGATAACATGGTCATGGTGGGATGGGAGATCATGGTCATGGTGGGGACGAGAGGTCATGGTCATGGTGGGACACCTTGTGATGATGGGCATGGTGGCAAAGGTCATGGTGAGGACGGACACCACGATCATGGTGGGGATGGGAGATCGTGGTCATGTTGGAGTGGGGCACCTTGTCATGGTGGGGATGGGAGATCATGGTCATGGTGGGATGGGAGATCATGGTCATGGTGGGGACGAGAGGTCATGGTCATGGTGGGACACCTTGTGATGATGGGCATGGTGGCAAAGGTCATGGTGAGGACGGACACCACGATCATGGTGGGGATGGGAGATCGTGGTCATGTTGGAGTGGGGCACCTTGTCATGGTGGGGATGGACGCCATGGTCATGGTGGGGATGGATAACATGGTCATGGTGGGATGGGAGATCATGGTCATGGTGGGGACGAGAGGTCATGGTCATGGTGGGACACCTTGTGATGATGGGCATGGTGGCAAAGGTCATGGTGAGGACGGACACCACGATCATGGTGGGGATGGGAGATCGTGGTCATGTTGGAGTGGGGCACCTTGTCATGGTGGGATGGGAGATCATGGTCATGGTGGGGACGAGAGGTCATGATCATGGTGGGGTGGGACAACTTGTCATGGTGGGCATGGACACTGTGGTCATGGTGGGATAGGAGATCATGGTCATGGCGGGGACGAGAGACCATGGTCATGGTTGGACACTTTGTCATGGTGAGGATGGACACCATGGTCATGGTGGGACACCTTGTCATGATGAGGATGGGAGATCATGGTTGTGGTGAAGATGGAAGCCACAGTCATGGTGGGGTGGGCCACCTTGTCATGGTGAGGATGGACACCATGATCGTGGTGGGATGGGAGATCATGGTCATGGTGGGGATACAAAAACTATGGTCATGGTGGGATGGGACACTGTAGTCATGATGGGGGTAGACATCATGGTCATGGTGGGGATGGGACACCATTGTCATGGTGGGGATGGGACACCATTGTCACAGTGAGGATGGACACCATGATCTTGGTGGGATGGGAGATCATGGTCATAGTGGGGATAGACACCACGGTCATGGTAGGGATAGAAAACCATGGTCATGATGGGGATGGACATCGTGGTCATGGTGTGGTGGGACACTCTGGTCATGGTGGACACCCACAACCCTTTCAGCCCCACCTTGGTGTGCCCTGCCTGAAAACCACCTCCTCCCACCTCCCTGGAGACACCAAAACCCCTCCCCGTTGACTCAGTTTCCCTTTTCTACTCGTTTCCATCCCGTCACCTCCTGATTCCACCCACCTCAACCAAGGTCCCCGTTGCCCCGCCCACCCCCCGGGTGGAGCTACTCACGACAATTGACCAACGTCCTCCAATCGGAGACGGCCGTTCCCTCCTCCCGACAGTCATCTGCGTAGGCTTCCAGGGCCCGGCAGAGCAGGACGTGGAGACCATCATTGACGCAGAGGTCGTAGACGCAGTTCTTCAGGTAGACCTGGGGGTCCAGGGTGTGGTGACACCCCTCGAAAGGTCCAGGCCGTTGGGCCATCAACCCGCAAGACTCTTCCCCCTCGTATTTCTTCCCCTCGTCCCCTGGACAACCTCCGCAGTCCCCACCGCTGCAGTTGTCCCAGCAAGGCTGGCTCCGGTTGGTGGCCTCCCAACCCAGGTCCCCCGTCAGGTTGGCCTGGGCCAAGTGGTCATCCCGGGGGTCGCCGTTGCCACACAAACCGCAGACTTTGGCCGAGAGGGCGCCGGGGAGTTTGACCAGCAGGTGGTGGTCCCAGTCATAGAGGACCTTCAGGTGGAAGTGGGTCTGGATCAAGAGGGACCTGCCCTTCTGCCGTAGGCGGAGCTTCCCCCGGGCCAAGGAGATGGGGAGGTGGGAGCGACGGTTGTTCACCTGGAGGAGAAGAAACACCAACCATGAAAACCTCAACGGATTTCATCAAACGGGGCCCGAAAAGTCGACTTTTTGAAGTTTTGGGGTGTCTCCTTCCAAATAGACGACCACGTGGTGGCGCCACCACCTCACGGGTGGCAACTCGGAAGATCCTTGAAGTTGGAGAAGACCCTGAAGGTCCTCCTTAAAGAGATTATCCTTTTTGGTGGCTTACCCTCACAATGCCGTTCTCGGCCCTGGTGGCCTCCACGGTGACGTCATAGACGTGGACGGTCACAGTGTCCACATGGGAGACTCCCAGGTGGCCCCTGGCTTCATTTTTGGCCTCTACGCTGAAGAAGGGGATGGTGGGATCCTGGTGGCAGGTCTTGGTCAAGGTGTAAGTGCAGGTGCCCATGAGATGCAAGGTTTTCCCATCAAAGGTCCGGTAGTGAGAGTCACCGGTGGCCCAGCAGGTCAAGGGGGCTTCGTGGATGCAGGTGGGTTGGCCGTCCACCACCTGGCACTTCTCCTGGCAAGAGAGATCTTCACAGGAGAGCGGAGGAGGAGGAGAAGCTGCAGAAAATGGGGAGAAACAACCACCCTCAATCCACGGATGGGCAACCAAAGGTGAGACCAGCCATGGAGAAGACATGGATGGGCAAGGAAAGGTGAAACCAGCCATGGAGAAGACATGGATGGGCAAGGAAAGGTGAAACCAGCCATGGAGAAGACATGGATGGGCAAGGAAAGGTGAAACCAGCCATGGAGAAGACATGGATGGGCAAGGAAAGGTGAAACCAGCCATGGAGAAGACATGGATGGGCAAGGAAAGGTGAAACCAGCCATGGAGAAGACATGGATGGGCAAGGAAAGGTGAAACCAGCCATGGAGAAGACATGGATGGGCAAGGAAAGGTGAAACCAGCCATGGAGAAGACATGGATGGGCAAGGAAAGGTGAAACCAGCCATGGAGGAGACGTGGAAGGGCAACCAAAGGTCAGAGCATCATTGGAGAAGACATGGATGGGCAAGGAAAGGTGAGACAAGCCATGGAGAAGACATGGATGGGCAA